CAGGAGGAGTAATATGCTATAATATATCAAGTTGATCTAGAATGATTGCCTGGAAAATTTGCTTGATGATTAATACTTTCCTTATTTTGTATCTTTGTGTAATGATTTTTGTGGGGTGCACCCCCTTTTTAGAGCCCCGCACCTCTCCCTTAAGAAAATCCTGTATCCGCCACTGAATCCCTTCTCTTAATGTTTTATTTGAGTTGCATGAGCAGCGATGTCAACATGTACGTTAGTCGTTAGATCAAATTGTACCTTATCTTACTGCAGATCCACCATCGATCGAAGCTTCACCACAGAATGTTACCAAGAACGAGAGTCAATCTGTGACTTTCACGTGCACAGTGTCGGGCAATCCAATCCCACAGATAACATGGTGGTACAACAATGTAAAGATCAACACAATTGATAGCGCCAAGTACAGTGTTAGTGGCCCTTCCTCAGCAAGCAGTAGCCAGGCATCTTTAACGATAAATAATTTGAAGAGAGATGAAGCGGGGTCTTATCAGTGTAAAGCTAACAACAGCCTCGGTAACGCTGAATCTAATCGTGCTTTCTTGGTTGTACAATGTAAGTAATCACTTAAAACATTTTGACATTTTATCAAATACACTAAGTGATGGCACCATAAATACACTGCTAGTAATCCTTTACCAACAAGCGATAATGCTACATCGGCATATTTGACGATAAATAACGTGGTGAGAGGTGATCAGGGTGGTTACCGTTGTAAGATGAAAACATCGGACAATGCTTTCTTAACCGTTCAGTGTACGTAGTCAAGAGTGCATGAGCCCAAACTCGTACCCAGGTACCTCTTTCATCTTTTGGTGTCTGTGGACGAGATTAGCATAACACAGAGTACTTTTTGAAATTATCCCAGAGAAGGTCAAGAGGGGTAATATGTTATAATATATCAAATTTGTCTAGAATGATTGACTGGACAATTTGCTTGGTATTTATTGGTCTTTAGTCATAAATCACAAAAGTGGATTCAGCTGGTGTTGAAATAATAATATCGTACGATACTGATACTGCATATACTAATAATAAGAAATAATTCTATTTTTGCATACTAGATAATGATAATAATGCTATACCTAACATGTATAACAAAATTTGTTGTTTATAAATTGTTAGTTTTAGGTCAGCCAATGCTTACAAAGCAGCCATCTTCAGACGAACCTGTAGAAAACAGCAAGTTTACTCTCACTTGCATAGCTGAGGGCTTACCAGTCCCAAGTATTTCCTGGTATCGTGATAGTCAACCCTTCGAATCACTAGCGCCTAATGTAACAACAAATCTAACAAGCATTACAAGCCAACTAATATTCAATAACATAAAACGCGGTGATAAAGGCAAATATTCCTGTAGAGCTTCAAATATCGCTGGCACAAAAAATTCTTCTGAAGTCACTTTTGATGTTCACTGTACGTATGTGCTGGTTTACATGATGAACTCTTAAATTCTAGTAATGTCTTGCCTAAATGTCATTCATTATAATTGTCTCGTGGTTTCAGATAAACCTGAGATCTTCGTCAACCCAAGAAATGAAACAAGAAATGAAGGAGAAAATGTAACATTGTGGTGTGAGTTAAATACCGGCAACCCACCCGCAGAAATAACATGGAAGAAAGATGGTAATCCCATAGGAAGTGATGGTAGAAGATCTATTACTAAACCAAGTGTTGCTGGACTTCGTGCCAACACTACCCTGACTATCAAGAATGTCAACAGAGATGATAAAGGAACGTATACCTGTAACGCATCCAATATCGTTGATAACAATGTGGAATCTCTTTATAGTGCTGGCTACCTGGAAGTCAACTGTAAGTATCTACATTTTTGAAGTATTTTATTTTGATACTGTATTACTCTTTCCATTTAAAAAAGGGACAATCAAATCATTATAAACTTAAAGCGTAAAATGTATCTCAATTTTACTGCAGATCCA